AATTGATGGCTCAATGTGATGGATAACGGTCATATTTTTCATTTTTATGGATGAAAAATTAGAAACAAATGGGGGCTAAAAATTAACTGATATGTGAATAAATTTTGCATGTTTGTTTTTGTAACATACTTAAATGTGAAGAAATTTTATCATGTTATTGTGTGTTAGCATGTGAGCGTGAGGACTGGGGTGGGGTGGGGTAGGGGTACAGTTCCTAACAGTAGCATGTAAGGGTGTGGTGGGGTGGGTTGGAATTAGTGTATTTAAAACTTGTGTTAGCACATGACCACATATTTATCCTGTCTTAATCCATCTATTTATAGGGATTAAATTTATCCTGTTGGGTTAAGGTAGGACAACTTGACCAGATTAATTTAATCTGGGTACTATCTATGCCAAACTCCTGATACGATAAAAATTATCCTTATTCGGTATAAAACAGCTCACCCAACGCACCCTATGTTTATATCGATATTTGGTTTTTGGTGATTTTTACAATTGAAAATTCCTCAGTAGACTTTTTGACATGCTAAATATATACAAAATGTAACAAGGCACTGAAATCATAATACTTTTGCCGAAGAGGAGAGTTTTTGACCGTGTTTTGAAGAGGAGATATGGGCGTTGAACGGAGTCTTAATTTGTCAAATGATCGGCAGCACCTGTCATGAACAATCATGAATTGTTCAATTGATGAATTGAAAGCTTGAAGTTGTGAATTTAGGCCAAGAAGTTCACAATCTCCTTAATTTGACTGATCTAGAGCACTGATTCCCCTCAACCTATGAAAAGTAGGTCACACAGGTCAATGCTAAGCTCTTAGACTAAGGAAAACTGAAGTGCAGTTTCAAGGATGGTTTGAAGATTATAAAGGTAAATTTGATGTTTGAAAAAGCTATTTACTGAATACAAAGATTTTAGTTCCTAGTACTTGATACTATCTGGTGACAGTTTAAGAAAGGGATTGCGCATTAGGTGGTAAAGTTACAGCTGTGGTTTGATGTGATTTATCGTGCTCATATTCATCCAAGATGTGGGTATTTTCTTCTCAAATAGACTACTTAGATTTCATTAATCTCATGAGGAGACCAGTACTGGCGTAGAATCACATATATTGGTTGTTGGTAAAAGGTTTTGATAGGTAAGTTTGCCTTGGACTGTCCATCGGAGGATGATGACCAGTGTCACTCTTTTATCCATCAGCTTAAAATGTCTTCTATGATTATGCTTTTTCTAGTCGACAACTGGTCTTATATATTTCTCTGCTTCTTGTACAAGATCCCATGTGAAATTTCTTTGATCTGCCAATGATTCTCGACTTTTATGTCCTGTATCAAGTTGTTTTCCTTGCTTACCTATCTGGTGATGTACGTTTGCATGTGATCATTATGAAGTTTCCACACTGCAGAGTGTCAACATTCGACTGTATGTCTGTGAATGTTCATACTCTTAGTTTTTTAATTTTTTACTTCTCATTTTAGACAATTTATCAATAACTTCAGTTTGTCTTGATCTCCAGAAGGCAATATAGATGCTAAAAGACAAAAGACTTCATCTGAGAATGTGAATGCTGATATGACAGGTTCATCGACTCATAATTCCTCATTTCATGGAGCATCTTCACCCTCTATACCTGTTGAGCATCCAGTTGTCATTGAATCTGTTACTAAGCAGTCGGTTGAAGGCACACACCCATCTCATAGGAAGACTGTGGTTTTTCCGCGCAGCACCAACATGCCAATCCCTGATAGTGCCACTGTGATGTCCTATAGTGATGATCAATGGGTCGCATATAAATTGGGATGAATCAGTAACTAAATGCGTCTACATTTGGCTCTGCTTTGTTGAAAACTGTTAGCTATGCTTTCTTCTAGGATTGTGTGTTGACTTATTAGCTGGACTGCAGATAATGTATGCTAATGTTCTATTTATTCCTGATTATTGATGTGCAGATTTTGACAGCCACTTGGGTTGTCCTAATCCAATATGAATATTAGCTGATTATAATCGAAAAATATGGTAAATGGTTAACAATTTGAACTGCTTGAAAGAGTTTTACAAAGACAAGACATTTACAAGAGCATGTAATGAACTGATGTCAATTGTCATTTCTGCAGAAATTTTCACGAACCTCAAATGGTGCTGAGAAATTTTGCATTCTCAGCACCATCTTGGTTCTGCTAAATGCTTCCATCAATCTGTAAGACTAATAATAACTATATGAGGATTTATGGTTGACTGCCAGGATGGTAAATGCCTTGAAAAAAGGGTGAACAGTTGCATCTGAGAAGAGGTTTAGCGAGATCAACTGGAGAACCTTTCCCTGAAATGCTTGAATTAGAAATTTCAGACGGCAAAGGTGGTGAAGTAAACAAAATGACCGAACGTATTTCGTACAAGTAGATATATAAGGATAGCAAGTTATATTTCGAGTGTCTAGCTAATGAGAGAAGATTTATTATGAGAGTCCTTCAATTTAGATAATTCTAGGTTAATTAGTCTCCAACCATATTGTTCTATTCAATTAGAGTTAACATTAATTAAAATCGAATTAAGTAGTTGATTCTAGTGGGATCGATACTTTACTCTCTTTATTTCTTGGCTATTGTACTGTACATTTACGGAATTTTTGCGATCACTATGCTTCAGTGGGGGAATGAATATCACAAGTAGAAAAACATTTCTTCTTATTATCTTTCAAGTTAATGGTGGAGTTTCTTGAAAAATGTAACTCTCATTGGAGATGAACCAAAAATAAAAAAAGAATAATGCTGATTTGTAACCCTTGGTGTACATTCGGTTTGACATCCCCTTCACATGGGGGTGGAGCTAGCATGAAACTTGCAATCGCTAGCCCCACCCCCATGTGAGGGGTTGTCATCCATGATGTACGCCAAGGTGTACATCAAGCATGGTAAAAAAAGAAGTGTTACATGTACATAAATTTATACATAATGGTGTCCATAATTACACGTGGCACTGGATCCAACCTTTAATTCAAATCTCACACTTTCACATCAACAGTCAAATCTTGTCAACATCACATTATGGACACCATTATNTTTTTAAAAAGTTTGGGAGTATAATTACAATTTATTTTTTATATTTCTTTTCATTTTATTTGTTTTATTTAAATTTGAGGGTATAATGGTCATTTTACACTGAAAAATAGTGAAAAGGATGTTTTCCACACTGAAACGTTGAAATAGGGGCAAAAATGCAAAAAAATGAAACGTTGGGACGTTTTGCACACTAACTATCAAACGTAAGGACGTTTTGTGCTAATAAGCCCAAAGTAATATATTATCGATTAATTCTTAATAACAAAACCGAAATTTAAGTATAAAGCAAAAGTGATTTTTCTTCTATCTCCTGCAAAAATTATATGCACAATTACACGAAAATTGAATTCGCAGGCAATGCAGGTAAAGTTGTTTATACTATATATATATTTGATTTATTGAGGTGAATGATTGTTGCTAAAATTGGTATGATTTGTTATTTAATTTTGGTAGACAAGAACCGTACAAGTACAGCGAGTATCAGATCTAGCAAGTGAAAGGGAACTCCACGAGTTTTTCTCTTTTTCTGGTGAAGTTGAAAACATTGAGATCCGCAGGCACGCTGTTAATTTTCTTTTTCATTTAGAGATGTTATTTTATTATAATTGTTTATTTATGTGTGTGAATGGTATTAATAGTATTGATTTTTGAATATTTGCAGAGAGCCATGGCAGTCAAAGACTGCATTTGTGACTTTCAAAGATCCGAAAGCCCTCGAAATTGCTCTGTTGTTGTCGGTAATTTCTTGGGCCTTTTATTTTGGTTTATTGTTAATAGTCCTTTATTTTTATAGTAGTAATAATTTTAGCACTATATGATTATGTGGAAGTACGCTATGATGATCCAGAGAAACGTTAGCACTATATGATTCTCTGACACTTTAGTAATTTTTGTTTTTGTTAATGCTGAATGCATAAATACAAATAATTAGAGAAGTTTTTTCCACAAATAGAGCGATACACCATACTCACACATGAAATTAGGAGTAATATGACAGATAATAATAAATTGAATCGCAAGACATTATTATTGTTGTAGAAGCTATGCAGCGTATACGCAAGCTTTCAGTATGATGTTTAAAATCCAGAATGGGTTATAAAATCCGTATAGTAATGAATAAAATTGTTTAATTTCACATTCGAATTAAAAAACACATTGCCCTGGTGCATTCCTACTTGTAGATCTAGTTATGGGAAGATGCCACCAATATGCCTTACTGTATTGAGGACTAGTCCCTCTCTAAAATGTTACTTTAAAAGCTATAGACGATCAGTTTAAATTGTTATGGCATCGTAAATTTGACAACTAACAATTATCATATGAGATCTTAAATCTTCATTTTGTTGATTGAAATGGAATTGGGTTAACATCTTGTATGGGTTAACATGTGAGGAAAATTGATTCTGGAGATTGAAAACACTACCATTTGTGTGCATTTGCAGGGAGCAACAGTTGTCGACCAGATTGTTACTATAGTGGCCGCAGAAAACTATGTAGCACAACCTTTGGTTCAGGTAAACTATGTACAACTTCAAAAGTTTTTTCCACACCATTATTTAAATCTAACTCTGTGATGTTGTGTATTTAGGAAGTAAGGATTGTTGACAATGCCTTGAGCATGTCTCAGGAAAATACTTCTCCAGTAGCCGAGGTAATCAAATATAATGAATTGGCCTTATGTCTCAAATAAGTATCAGTATGGGATATCTTTTAAGTGACAAATTTTAACTAGTTCTGATTCCATAGGCTCCTGCTGATGGTATAGAAATGATGGAAGTAGGAAATAGGCAAAATATTCTTTTATCCATACTTGTAATGGTTGATGGTGAAAGATAATTAAGTTCATCTCTCTGTTACAGGATATTGATATCTGCTATATCTGATACCAGGGAAAAACGAGTCCAACTAATGGGAGCGTATAAATTAGTAAAGCGCAAGATGTTGTCTCGAGTACGATTGCAAAAAGTTCAGCTATCAGACAAGATGCCGTGAATAAGGCCGAAGCATTCGATGAGAAGCATCAGCTGACAGCCAATGCATCTGCCCGAGTGAATTCTTTTGACCGCAGAGTTGGGCTGACAGAAAAACTCACTGTTGGAATTACAGTTGTAAATGAGAAAGTTAAATATGTGGATCAAAGATTTCAACTGTCCGATAAAACTGTAGCAGCTCTGATAGCAGCAGAGAGGAAATTAAATGACACTGGATCAGATGTCAAATCTAACAGGTTTGGTATTCTTCCTTGTGTCTGTAATTTGTCTTTATGTTTGTCTCTCTTTGACTAAGAAAGCAATTCCCTATTCATTATGTTTTTGTTTTTATCTGGACGTGTACATGCTTATTTGATGGCTTTTGATTTCTATTTACACAAGCAAGTTTCAGACAAGAAATCTCTACATTTTTTGTCTTTCCTTTTCAACATGTGGAGTTTTTGCTGTTTATTAGATTTTTAGCTACACTGTAAAACTGTGAATCAAGGATTTGTGGAACATTGACTGTTGACTTGATGATGTCCCACTTGGCTGGCAACTGGAATGCATAATTTGAGTTTTGTTCAGTTAAAATCTATGAAATTGACTATTTGGAATGATCAGGTATGTGACTTCTGGAGCAGCTTGGCTGAATGGTGCTTTCAATAAAGTAGCAAAGGCTGGACAGGTAGCTGGTACAAAAACTAAAATGAAATGGAATTTAGCATTATCTAATTTGACTGCAAAGGTTCGTGTTCTAGCCCACTTTTTGTTTGGTTATTGTGAAGGTTTCTGTGGCAATAAAAGAAAGTAAATAAGAACAGAACAGGAATTTTGGAAGATGCACAATATCTTTAGATTAATTTTCTTCTCTTGGATTCTATCAGCAGAAACATGTTCTTTATGTCTCGAAAGGAAAAAAAAACATTTGTTTTCATTTTTCAAAAACAACTTTGTTACTAATGAACACTTTCATGGAAAAAAAAATAATAAAAATTCTTCTTTACGTTTTTCAAAGAAATATTGTTACTAATGAATTTAATATTTTAAGCTTTTTTAATTTGATTGTGTCAAGACATGTGACCTTAGCTGCCAATCTGCCATAGTCTCCCTAACTGTCTGATATTCAACAAGTCTTGTTCTGCGCATTTATTTTTAGTGCTAGTTACAGTTACCTTCTGCTCCTGTTGACCCAAATGTACCAATCCATTATTTCATTTCATTTTTGCATGTGCAGGATCGTCCTATAGCTGCATAAAACCAGACGCTCGAAGTCACATAAGAATGCTTGTTCTTAGTCCGACAGTCTGTTTGAGAATGATTTAGAATGGATTGGACAACGTGGTACAACTCTCTGTCAATAAACCCGCTAAAGTCGATTGTATTTAAACTACGATTCATTCCATTATTTTGATTTGTTTGACTTTGTTTCCCAAGAATAGTCTTGTGTGTCTTGCTTCTCTGTAACTAGTCCGGGTGTAACGTTTTGCAATAGAGAAAAATGAATTCGTATATGGCATTGCATTAATCTTGCCGCAATCCAACACTCCCAACTCGTGCAGTTATGGGGAACTTCATTGGTTCAAAAACATTAAATTCTGTTGTTTCACTCAATTAATCCAGCATATGGGAATGCATTGAGTGGGTGTTTGGTATACATTATAAGACTGTCCTGATAGTACTATAGATCATAATTTTTCTAGCATCTTTTTATTTCATTCGAATGTCGAGTCTTTTGACATGTAAGAATATATGGTTAAAGAGTTGTGGATTCTTTGAAATGTGTGGTTGAAATGAAGTTTGACCAATTAAAAATCATTTATAATTTATCAAAACGGAGGCTTAGATCTTAAAACATAATGTTACCATCTTTTTAAGGTTGTGATTTGTAGGACTGATGTTTGTTAATTGTCAGGAATTATTCTATATTTCTTCCAATATATTATTCATTTCAGTTTTAAACTACCAAATGTCTCATTTGAAGTTGTACATAACAATCTCTATCAGCCTCTTGATTTGATTGTTGAAGAAGCCAAGGCTACGAAGAAGTGATCTGGCCATTTCATGTGCATCCAAATTATTTATTTTGAGGTTTTGCTTTAGGGTTTTGTATCATTAGTTGGCATTGAATTGTCACCTTGTCCAGGCTACGAAAAGGGTTTCTTTAATGTTCATTGTTTGTCAACCATACTATATTAATGTTTCGTGTTTATCATTTCTTGTGTTTGACGCAAGAAATTTGTATGGCTTATACCACTTTAATAGTTTAGATAAAAATCAATTTTTTAGTAGATTTTGATAATAGTAAATGTGTGGTTGAAGAATTGTGGATCTCATTAAATATATTGTTAAAATTCATAGTTGACTTTGACTTAAATTGTAATTAGCTTATCTAACTGATCAAATATGGACTACATATATATCTATATATATATATATATATATGAGACAACGAATAAAATAAAAAAATGAGGTAAACATATCGTACACTGGAAACATATTTTTAGTTCAGTATCATACACTATTTTTGTTTGTTTTGCATGTGCATTCATAATTTTTCCTCACATTCTCCAAGAGAATCACTTTCTCGAGAAAATCAAAATCAAATAAGGGCTAAATCTATATAAATATCTTAATTTTCTATTCCACTATTAACAATATTGATGTAATAGTAACTAACTATTTGATAAAATTAATAATTATCTTTAATTGAATTACATAATTTTATCTTAGTTGAACCCATCACATTGTTTCACTTAAACTGATGTTGCAGTGAAGCCATATGACATTGTTCACAATATTACTGTTGTAAAAATGTTTCCACACAAAGGAGGTGGAGAAATAAAGAACAAACACAAGAACACCAAAATTAAAGACGAAACACTTAATTCGTTGTCCCCAAATAATATTTGTCTCATCTCGAATTGAATTTGATACTTAAATGGTCATTAACAAATGGTTTGTAGGATTAATCAAGCTTTGCAATTAAAAAACACTTAAAATATTAAACACTTAGTGTTTTCTATCAAAATTTCAAGAACACTTTGAAGGAAATTTGAACATGAAAGAAGGAATATAAATTTTATCTTTTGGAATGAAGATTTGATCTCAAATTGTTTGAATTATATTATTTTTGATATGATAATCTATCATTTATTTATAAATTTCAATCAACACTTATCAAATAGTGCCAAAAAATTATGAAAAATTGTAAACTTTTCACCAAAAGCCACCAAGAATTCAAACAAAAAACAGTTTTAGCGGTTCTTTTTTTTTTTTAGATTTATGACAAAAAACAGTTTTAACAGTTCTTTTTTTTAGTTCTATACGACCGCATAGAATAAACCTATGCAATCGCGTAGGTTGATCACTTGCAGGGCATATACACCCTGCATATCTTCATGTGACCGCAGGCCACAAAGGCCTATGCAGTCGCAGAGTCCAAAGTTTTGGCCTCCAAATTCTTTCTTCGTTCCAAAGCCTATTTGATTGATTTTGAACAATATTTTCAACAATTACATTCAAAAAGTAACGTCCAAAGTAATTTTCAATTACATGTTAAGATCTGCAATTCATAATTTCATATAATCCATACGACAAATAATCAATTTAGTAGTTTGGTGGGAATATTATCTGTTGACCCCTAAAAATGAATCAACAGATGTCGGGCCCACTCACGCCAAGTCAAGTACGATTCTGGTGCGTTCCTACCGTAATGATGACGGTAGTAGTGAGGAAGTGGACGCGGGAGGTACTTTGCGGCGAGAGACAAAATTGTTCGAGTTCCGGCGGGTGGAACGAAGACAACCGCACTAATAACGATCGCCGGATTGAAATCAAACTAATCTATATAATCACAAACAAGAATATGTGGAATGATAGATGAAATGTTCATATGCTTTTTTCAAGAGTTCAAGTGTATTTCTCAAATATATGATTATACGTCATTTCTTTTCACAATGATCCAACCTCCGCCCTTAATTATAAAGAGAACCTATTTATAATGCATTGGTCGACGTGGTGATCATTGGACCGGAACCGCGTGGCCTCATCTCCCTAACTAAGACTTCACATCACTATCTATTCATACAATTAATACATTGATAAAGGGTCAGCCGCCCTATACAATAGGCTGACATACTGACAAACTTTATTACAAGTGTTACATCAATTACTTCTAATGGATCTTCAAATCTATTACAAGAGACAGCGCCGGTTTCATGAGCTTCGGACGAGTTTGAGAGCCTCAGAAAGATCTTTTGAGGTGGTTCTCTAAGTGGAGAGCTTCAACTCCTTTCTTTTCTTCTTTAGGCAATGCGTCAGCAAGCACTTCGGCTTGTAGAGCAAGGACCTCCGTTATTTACATCATGGGTCTTTGTGTTGACTTTTTTGTTGACTTTCTGCCTACGTGGCTTGTCACGAGGCACTTTTTCTTTGAGCCTCGAAGGCGAGGCGTAACATTATCATTAATTTGTGCCCTACTCTTTATAGGGAAAAAATGCTTTCATGTTTCCAACATTGACCGATTTGTTTGGTAGAAATCAATTCCTTGTCTTTCTTTACCTCTTGATATAGAGTTGTACACGACTATTGAAGTTTCACATAATAAATAGTTTCCAATGTTAGAAAATATTATTAATATTCATATTGTCAATAAAAAGAGATAACATCATTCTATCTGGTGATAAATATTGAGATTGAAAACAGCTACTCTGAAAGTTCGTTGGATTTTATTTTCCAAAGCTCGCTTCTTTTGTGTATTTATTTTTTATCAGCATGACGATTTTGAATAGAACAACTGAAATCCTAATTGTTTTGATAACTAACTTTTCAATTCCAATATTTTAAACAAAACTCATCGGTTTTAATTTTAAATTTAAAAACTACTTAGAAAGAGTGCGTATTTTAGTATAAATTAGATTTATCAAAAATATACCTCCTCATATTCGAAAGCAAGAAAATTCAACGACAAAAAAAAAATTAAAAATCCAAATAAGATACAAAGACGTACACAATTTTTTATTTTTTATTTTATTTTAAAAATAAAAAGTCAAAAAGGACAATTTGAAAATTCCACTTATATCCACGTGTCTATTCATTGGCATTCCACTTCACTGTGAATATGATTCGAGAAACTATGGCCGCTGAGAAAATCTAAGGGCTTTTTCGTCCTTTAAAAAAATCCAACTTCATCGACTTGTACGGTTGTTCATCTTTTTTTTTAAAAAAATTAATTTTATAGTAACTAATCACCTAATCATACACATAGATACAGCCTAGTATTTACATTTAGAGAGAGAGAGAGAGAGGAAGGGGCAGTTTGCTAAATTTGCAAGCTTTTTTCTTACGTCATTGGCTTGTGCATTGATTCGTCTCAAGTGGTTGATTTTCCTCCATACTTCCGAGGTGATTTTCTTAATTCAGTTATGGTTTCTTTCTTATGTATACATTTTTTATTTTTTGGCTGTATTTGTTTTTTTGGATTGTTTTGTGTTTGCGTGCTTTTTAAGCTACCATTTTAGTTGGGGTAGGTTTCGGCTTGTGTCTGTTTCAATGATTTCTAGGAATCTAATTTAAATGGCATTCTTGATTGCAATTCACACTTGGTATATTACAATGTTTTTTTTTTTCCCGATTTTAACACGGGTGTGAACATCGTTTATGAACATTTAATGCTTAAAGGTCCGATCTTTTTGTTTAATTTCATCGTTTAGATGCTGAAAATGCTGAATTTTTCTTTAAGATTGTCATTCACGTCTATGATTTGTTAATCGAATTGAAACGGAGATCAGAGATCATTTTCTTTTATTGGCTTTGAAAGTGAACTGATAATCAAATCCAATTTGGTAGATTACTTTTAATCTCAATATAGTTTGATATGTGGTTATTCAAGTGCCTCCTTGCTTGTGTCAACTTTGCCTGTGTCAACTTCGTGATAGTAGTTGCATCAATTATTGGTTTGATTTCTATTTTCAACCAACTTTACCAATCTTTATGCTGTGGGGAGTTAGAAAATGGAAAAATATATATATGTGTGTGTGAGCATTTCCATAATACAATCATGTTTAAGGAGAATTTCATATAAAACATGATATTACTTATTTTGTGAATGCACTTTAGTACTTTTTATGTTGCTTATTAAAAATACAACGTACTGACTGAAGGCTAAAAAATGCGGAAAACTTCTTTTGCTTGTTCTTCAAGATCTTTTAAAGATCATGGTGCAAACGTGAAGACTGCCTACTTGTTATGCTATTT